CAACAAAACTAGTGGCTTGAAGCGATACTTTAGTAGTTAGTGAGGGCTGTTGGGGAAGGGACTGCTTGCATATGCGTTTGCAAACACACAGATGGATATGTACACACATGCGCACACGCCCACGCGGGAAATCATGTACACGTGTTTGCTTACACACATACATAGGCATGCACACACACATACACTCAAGGTCGTCTGTCTCCGGAAAGGAAACTTCAAAATCTGTGACTGAATGTTGAAAACACAGAAATAGTTGAGGCTAGATTCCCAAATACATTTTACCTGTTATCATCTGTTGTATAATATTTACCAAAGCCCAAATAGAAAACTAAGGGAAGCACACTTGTGTTCTTCTTCTTCGCGTTCACCAGCTGTAAACTCTGGCGGAAGGTTCTGGTTGCTCGTCCACTACTGAACTGCAGTCCTGCTCCAGAAGCTGAGTGTTGCGTGTGCATCAGTTTTACAGATCTCATTCTCTTGAATACAGACTGTTGCTTCCTTGCCTCTCTGGCAGATGCACTCCGACTTCAAAGGAAGCTCCCCAATTAGTCGACTCTTACGACATGCTTTTGGGGAGGCAGTGGGTCTGTTCTTGTTTTTCCCACAATGGGGCCCCGGAACCCACACGGGGGTTAGCACACTTGTAACCTGCCATAAATGTTTAACTCTGTCACTACCAGAATGTATTCTTTGTCTAATACGAATTTTCCTATGTAGCTATCGCCTTTGTAGCCTTTAAATCGGCTCCTTTATTTCGTCACAGTCACGCGTCTCCCGGACAGTATATCCACTTTAGTCTTTGTGATAATGATATGCTAATATCTAGTATTCACTCCTGCCATATTTTTCCAGGTTCCAAAGAAGTTAACATTAGCGTACTCGTAACGGTTATGGTTACTGTGCTTGTGATTATTTGCACTTTATCTTATGAGAAGTTTTAGTGAAAGTATCCAATGTTAAAGTCCAAATAAGTTACAATTATAAAGCTGTCTACCAGACAATCCTCCTTGATGTTCAAATCTGTTAGAATGTCAGTTTTTCTGTTCTTGGTATTCTGAGATTCAAATCTGTTAGAATGTCAGTTTTTCTGTTCTTGGTATTCTGAGATTCAAATCTGTTAGAATGTCAGTTTTTCTGTTCTTGGTATTCTGAGATCCTTTCTGTTTTAAGAAAAATAAGTCCTTCTCCCGTCAGGAACCGAACGCACGACTTTTCAATCCGCAAGTGAGGGTCTAGCCGCTGGACCACAGCAGATCCCTAATCAATGAATTGTTTTAATTTACAAATATCAGAGTCGCAAATTGGATTGCATTCTTTAGAATATGAACGTTAAATTAAGAATCCTTATCACATTACTCTGGACATCCCCATAAGCAATCGGTCCCCATCTTCAGCAGCAAGCGAAGAGTTCCAGTTCTAAAGTTGAGGGTGTTGTATTTTTAAATTACGAATCCCTAAAATATGTAACGCTGACATCAGAGGAGTTTGAGCATACCAGATGGGAATCATTTTTCTCAGAGATGGATTAGACTACGGGGGCGCCATAGACAATCAAGACTGGTACTGTTGATTACTTATTGAAATGACTTTCTGTATGAAGATGACACCTCACTGTGTAACTGATCGAAGTTGATTATAGGACTCATTTAGATATTGACAAAATTGTAACTACTGTGAGCTGCAAAGTGAAGTGACCAAAATATTTGTCCTACACTCATAACTCACACAAATTTAAAAAAAAGCAAGATGGACATATAATCAGAATGCAACTGGTACCATAATGAAACAATGCCCAGGCTGTTGAAAAATACTTGTAGGAATGCCCTGAGTGCAGTAATGTTGTAATTAGCAATTCAACTTGCTCTTTTAATGAATTGTTTGAACAAAAACGAACATTAAATCAACATTTATGATAATCAAATGCACACAGCTTTTTTTTTTCAAATGTATTTTCCCCCCGTTATAAACGTATTTTATTTCAAAACACAGATATAACAAGTCCTGGAACTAGCACGTAGACATGATTAAAGACATCGTTCATAAAATGTTACTTTAAATATTTTGAGTAAACGGTCACCATGTAACATTATATACACGTGTAAATGACTATAAAAATGTTAGTTATATTAAAAAAAAAAAGTTTATTATAAGCTTTATTTACTACTGGGCATGTAGTAACAAAAAGACAGCATCACAAGTGATGACATACGCCAAATGACACAGCACATTAGCAGTGACGATTTCCCTTTAAAGACAGCTATGACAGTGAGCAGCAAACAGTAAAAGGAGACGAGGCAGGCCAACGAAGACCTGAATACACCATCGGAAAGACGAACTGGCCTCAGATAAAAATATGTAAAAAAAAAAATGCAACAAGTACAACTTATCTAAGCGACAGAAATTGAAAGACCTTAAAAAACTGTCGACAGTAACTCAGTGACCTAGCGTCCTAACCACGTAGGACTGAAAGTTATATCTGGCTGGTTAAACAGTTACGAGTATCCTAATATTAACTTCTTTGGAGCCTGGGCAAGTATGGCAGGAGTGAATACCAGACATCAGCACATAATTATCACAGACACTAAAGTGGATGTACTCTCCGGGAGACGCGTGACTGTGAGGAAATCAAGGAGCTTATTTGATGGCTACAAAACTGATAGCTACACAGAAACATTCGTATTAGAAAACGCGAGCTATGATGAAATAACACGTGTACGAATGTGTGAACGTGGAGTTTGGAGTGGATCTGTTAAGGAAAGAACTATGAGAGGAAAAGAACGACGTGTGGATAATCAGTGGGCTACGGTAACAGTTAGCATATGCACTTTAAGATTCCTGCTACCGGAGACGGAGCATCTATGGGTATGCCAGTTGTGCTATTTTGTCGATTCCTAATTCAGTGAGCAAGTAATAAGTAACAACCAGATGGTTCACGAAGAAGTTAAAAAAAAGTGTTGAATAACAGTTGAAATCCGCACACTGACGATGAATTTGTGAGTGAGTTGCTTTTGTCACAATACATTTTATTAGGCATATAAAACAGTTATGCATTGCATGCAAAAGTACCAGTTAGTTTAGACAAATTTAGAAACCAGCGCAGGCACTAAAATCACTAATGAATATTTATTATTGTACAGGAGTTGATTAGCACTTATAGAAATAAAATAACGTGTGAATCGTTAGATTTACATTTAGTTCTTAACCCTTTCTGTAACAGGCGATCAGGCCAACCAAGTGTTGGTTAAAATAATATTATTACTCTTATGTCTCTCCTGGCGATATTGTTATATTATTATTATTATTATTGTTATTATTACAACTGCCAACGCAGGCGCTTCGCATGAAAGATCTGATGTGACCGAAAGAGGTCGCACTAAGATAAATAGACTGATCACATTAAAGAACTTCTACATCGACACGGAATGACATTAGCCATTGCTGCCCTTCAAGCAATGGATCGCAAACTGTTCTCCCCCAAGATACTTAACAGCACAAATGAAAATTGATGATGATGATGATGATGATTATGATGATAATTCTGAAGATGATAATGATAACGATAATGATGAGTGTTATATTGTACTTATGGGTGGCATGTGACCCCAGCCTATATATATGGCGAGTATGACAATACAGACCTGCTTGCCCTAACAAAAGTATTTCACAATAAGCTATATAATTTCAAGACCAATGATGCCAAATTTAAGCGTATACATATCGTTGGCTTCTTTTCAGATGATCAGCTCTTAATCTGAATTTTTATTTTGTTGTTGTTGTTGCTGCTGTTGTTCTACGCTTATTCTCTTCGCAATGTTTTTCTACCAACGAAATTCATGGCGCCGTGTTCCCAAGAATTAACAAAACATTAAGCTAAGACTACCTCAGCATGCGCCAAATGTGTTTTAAGAGTTTTCTACAGCAGTGTTTCACAACTTTTTTACACCCTCGGCCCATGAAAACGGGGACAATTTTTTCTCTCCCTAGAAAACGGGGGGAATTATTACTCTGCTTAAAAAACAGGGAAAATTGTTGCTTTGTCTAGAAAACGGGGAAAATTGTTGCTCTGCCTAAGAAAACGAGGAAATTGTTGCTCTGCCTAAGAAAACGAAGACAATTGTTTCTCTGCCTAAGAAAACGAAGAAAATTGTTTTTCTGCCTAAGAAAACAGGGAAATTGTTTCCCTGCCTAAGAAAACGAAGAAAATTGTTTCTCTCCCTAAAAAAAACAAAGAAAATTGTTTCTCTGCCAACGAAAACGGGAAAATTGTTTCTCTGCCAACGAAAACGGGGAAATTGTTTCTCTGTCAACGAAAACGGGGAAATTGTTTCTCTGCCAACGAAAACGGGGAAATTGTTTCTCTGCCAACGAAAACGGGGAAATTGTTTCTCTGCCTAAGAAAACGAAGAAATTGTTTCTCTGCCAACGAAAACGGGGAAACTGTTTCTCTGTCAACGAAAACTTGGAAACTTGTGGCCCAGTTGTTATCTAACCAACAATATCTAACCAACAACAGAATCAAAAATTAATGTAGATGGCAGTTTAATTATTAAATCAGATGTGAAAACTACAATTTCCAGGTAATGCGCCACTGCTACTGCTTAGAGGTTGGGAAATTTCATATGTATGGCTAGAGTGTTGTTTCTGATAGATGAAGAGTGGCAATAGCATTAGTTCGATTTCTCTGTTTTTTTTTTTAAATAACTGACATGGCTTAGAAAAGAGGATTGAAAAAAAGGGGTATGGGGGGGGGGGGGGGGGGTTGGTGAGCAACAGACATAGCTATATAAGTCAGAGGTGAATATTTTTTGCAGGGACTTTTCCGCAGCTCGCTGGTGGGCCTCCGCCTGTGGGTTGAAGAATACTGCACTAAACGAAAGGTGTAAAGGTGTAAAACGTAAAAAAAGGTTGACTGGGGTACAGGAGTAATATCTAATCACACAAAATGCGCTGTTTGGGACAGCCAGGGTTAATCTAGTTGTTTCAGCCTGCCGTGACAGCTGCTAATGTGCTATCCTTGACGACACAGGAGACATATACGACAATTTCTCATCACTGTTTTTCTGGAACGCGTTGGCATTCTCTCCCTCCTTCCGCTCTTTCTGATCATCGCCTTCGTAACCGTAATCATCTTCATCATCATCTTCTTTCGTGAAACCAGAATCAAGGTAATTCACGTCTGGACTTGTTTCTGTATACTCCATTTGCTTCAGATGTCTTTCTCTGGCTTTCTTAGCAAGAAACTGAAACCATGACAAGCATTGAGATTATAGTGGCATGGTGCCAGTGGGGTGAATGTAGCAGTCCCTAACAGCAGTATAAGCAATGCTTAGAGATAACAATGACTCATATACGTTTATCTATTTATCTATTGGGAAGCGGTTTGGTTGACACTGTTTACATGAAAGTTAAGAAAGCAGATTAGTCATAAACATATGACCACCTGCAAGCAAGACTTTAGAATATGTTTCTTCTTTTGCGTTTACCGGCTGTAAGTTCCGGCAGAAGGTCCCGGTAGTCCGTCAATTTTGACTTTTGGCTTTTACCTGAACCTGAGTTTTGCGTGTACATCCATTTAGAATCAACAGCGCCCCTTCATTCTCAATTGTTCCCTTACCCCCCCCCCCCGCCACCCAAGCCCTAAGCCCCCCCCCCCCCCACGATAAAACCAACAAAAAACAGGTATCGAAGCTGTCTTTTCAAGATTTATTTACATAGTTCACAATTTTCAACAGCAGAAAACGAGTCCTGAAATTTTACTTTATATAGAGCCCGTTCTGTTGAATGATAGTGACTATTGGAATGTTAGCAAATAAATTAAGAAGAGTTTGGAGGCAACTGAGATGTGGTTCTTGAGAAGCATTGGACTGTCAGAATAACTAACAGTGTTTCCCTGGAAATGGCTAATGAAAGTAAAACATTATATTCAACAATAAGAAAGAGAGAAATCTTTTTTGATATATGATAAGAAAAGGAGCATTGGAAAATATCGTGACGACGGGAAAGGTCACTGGTAGAAGAGGCAGAGGCAGACCAAGAGACATGATGGTGGATGGCTTAAGACAGTGGAATAACAGAATATCACCAGTGGAATTGATCCAGAACCCCAAAGACTGAGATCTGTGGAGATGCATAAACTCCATCGCCAGCTGGCAAGGCACTTAATGATAATGTTATGCTGATATATATGATCTATATATATATCGGGGTACCAGGCCAATCTCAACATATGGGAGGCTGGGCCCTTGCCGGGGGAACCTATGCTAATCTATGTATTTCAAGTGACCATTTACACTGCATTCATGTAAGTGCTTTTCGTCGACGTTTGTGGCTTGGCGTTGCGAACTCGATTCGTAATGCCGGGTTGCTGGGTTCGATCCCAGCTGCGGACGGCTTGTCTTGCGCTGGTTTCGACAGTTGTACAGAGAGCTGACCGTTTAGTAAGCTATGGCAAACTACTAAACGTAAAATTTGCCTAGAAAAACCACAACAGGCAACAAAAAAAAAAAAAAAAAAAAAAAAAAAAAAAAAAAAACACGCTGGGGTGGGTTCTAGAACTAATTTGAGTGCTTTTCGTAGGGGTTGGGGTGGGGGGGGGAGGGGTGCATCAAAATTATTTGACAACTTCGAACAGTTGTTCTCAACCTTGCTAATACCCCGACCCTTGAATACAGTTCCTCATGTTGTTGCGACCCCCCACCCATGCAATTATTTTTGTTGCTACTTCATAACCTCAGTGAATATGTGTTTTCCGTTAGTCTTAGACGACCCCTGTGAAAGCATTGTTCGACCCCCAGAAGGGTCGCCACCCACAGATTGAAAACCGCTGGCTTAGAGTTTCAGAGGGTTTTAATTCGGCCCTGTAGAACCCTGTATACACACGACACCTAAGGAGAGTAGAATGCGTCCTTGACTTTAGTTACCTTCAAATAGTGCCTATCGAGCTGCTGCCGGATCCAGTAGGGGATGTAGACTAGGAGAAGAAGGAAGGCGGTGCCGTAGATGAGGAAACTGATAGCCTCGTGGCACAGCAGGTTGGATAACAACTCTTGCAGCCTGGCCATGGGGTCAACAAACAGGCGTCTGGAGAAAGATCAGTTGACATGCAAATAGTAAAGATTCCTTTTTTGCCGTTAGGCACATCGGGCATATGGGAAAAACACTCATATTTTTACAGACTACTCGGCACTTGGTAGGTAATTTGGTCAGTATTACGCCAGCCGTCTTTACTTCCACAGGACATACACCCTGGTACCCATTTTAGGCTGGGTCGACCTGCGACGCCCCATACCATGATAAAATCCTCACAGCCAACAGTGGGTTTCGATCACGAGCATGCATGTGCTTCGGTCAATTATTCTGTCTGTCTGTTTGTGTATCTATATGAGTGATTGTCCGTCTAGCGTTCTGTCTAACTGTGTCTAAAAATGTGTCTGTCTGTCTGTTTGTGTATCTATATGAGTGATGCTCCGTCTAGCGTTCTGTCTAACTGTGTCTAAATATATGTCTGTCTGTCTGTTTGTGTATCTATATGAGTGATGGCCCGTCTAGCGTTCTGTCTAACCGTGTCTAAATATGTGTCTGTCTGTCTGTTTGTGTATCTATATGAGTGATGCTCCGTCTAGCGTTCTGTCTAACTGTGTCTAAATATGTGTCTGTCTGTCTGTTTGTGTATCTATATGAGTGAGGGTCCGTCTAGCGTTCTGTCTAACTGTGTCTAAATATGTGTCTGTCTGTCTGTCTGTCTATCTATCTGTCTGTCTATCTGTCTGTCTGTCTGCTTAAAAACTGATAAAGTTAGTAAATATCCCTTTTCACGCCTTTAGGCACATCAAGCATGTGGGAAGAGCCGGCCTCTTAAAAACTTAGCAACATTGATTTTGTATCCCCCCCCAAAAAAAGGTAGACATTTTGAGATCATGAATCTTTCCTGAAGCAACCAATGGATGTCAGTCATAGACTCTTACTTAGTCACTGAATAACGAGGTTAGAACTTTTGAACTGACATGTTCCTACACAAATCATTCCTTACAACTAGGGCTGAACCGAATAGTGAATTTCACTATTAGGCCGAATACGAATAACGGGACCAACTATTCGGCCGAATACGAATACGAATAGTGTATAATGTATAAACTATATCCATAAAGAAAAAGAAAAAAAAACACACACACACACATTCATAATGTCAAATGTACGTTGAACTTTTACCTCACATAAAGTAGTACAGAATAGTCATCTTCTTTTTAGCATTCTGAGCCCTTGAGGTTTACTGCTGCAGATATCACTCGTCTCCATTCATCTCTCTGGCTGGCCTTCTCTTCACAATTTGTGACACCAGTTGTTTGCAGGTCTGGCTGGACATTCTCCCTCGAACTTCTTTTTTTTTTTGTCTGCCTCGTGGTCTACGCCCATTCCTCTCTCAGGTGTAGACAGTTTTACTTCTCTGTCATCTGACATTCTTTCAATATGCCCCAACCATTTTAGTCTGTTAGCTCTCATGATGTCAGTGATCAGTTGTGATTTAAACAGATTGTGTGTTACGTTGTTGCTTCTCACTCTCCATTCCCCGCTGTTAGTTAGCATCTTTGATGGGTCCAAAGATTTGTCGTAAGACTGTTTCCGAAAACCTGTAATAACCCCTGATCTCTTTTATTTCTGCTTTAAGTTTCAGAGCCATATAAAACGACTGGTCTTATCAATGTTTTATATATTTTGATCATGGTGTTGCGAGACAGACACTTTGACTTTAGCAGATGTTGAAGAGCATAGTATACTTTATTTCTAGATTGTATTCTAGATTGTATTTCTTCTCTCAACATGTTGGAGCAGTTGAAGTGTGCACCCAAGTACTTATATATTTCCGTTCGTTTGATATTCATATTATCGACTTGGATGTGCCCGGAGTTTATATTCTTTCCATGTCTAGTTAGTATTCTTACAGAATAGTAAACATTTAAAAACATTTTATGTTTTTCATCCTTCAGTCAGTCTGTGGTAACTAATAACTAGGAATAAAAGAATCCTTAGTATTATAACAATTAACTAAACTTGGAAATTGTCACTGACGGCTTAGTAAATGCATGAAACCTGCATTAGCTTTCAACAAACGCAATCGTTCCATGTTGTCAGTATTAAGGCAGTGTATGCAAAAGCGGGTGTAAGGTAACTACTATTCGTATTCGGCCCGACCTCAACCATTCGGCCGAATACCGAATAGTCAATAGGTCCACTATTCGGCCCCGAAGCGAATACGAAGCGAATATTCGGTACAACCCTACTTATAACCACGGAAAAAGAAACAGAGAAACATATACAGTTTACATGATCTGAAAAAAAAGAAGAACTGGCCCATAAACAGCATCCAAAAGATGTTTTATCTGTACTTTATTTTTAATTCACCCCAAGCAAAGTAAATTTCAAAGTTCTCGGGAAAGTCCTATATTCTAGGCATGTTATTGGTTGGGGTTATGGTTAGGGTTTGGATCTTTGTCAGTCCCCAGCGCCTCAGAAACACCGACAAACCACACCCTTAACAATAACTCTAAGGCTAACCCCAGCAGCTTTGAAGACAAATCATATTATAATGACAAATCTAGAATACTGGATTTGGGGGGTGGGGGGGGGGGGGGGTGAATTAATGAAGTACCGAGGTAACTTTATTATCTTCTATTTCTTTCGTCACACTTCGTTGAGAGTCAGATTGGTATTGGCTGTGATTATACTGAAACTATTTTTTTTTATAGTGGTCGACCCAATATTCTTCATGGGCGCTAGATGGCTGTCGTATCATCTCTTCTTAGACGTAGAATGTGCTGGTAACTGAGTGACGTTCAACCCCACCAGGACCACACAACGAGCGAAAAACAACCGGCGACGCAAAGTGCCACCATTCTAATGAGACTTACCAGGGGACAAGCCTCAGAAACCCTGTTCAACCCGTAGGTTATATTTAGGGCCCCCGTCGACATTGGGACGGGGAAACAATGGAATAACTGGTTACCAGTATTGCTGTAATTTAACCAGAAGTCTACACAATTTGATCTTCTACTTCTCAGTTTACCCATCTTGTCATAGATCCTAGGCAATGTCTTGGGAAGCAAAGTCGGCTGCCATGATGTTGCCCACACTACCCATTCAGGGCAATTGGTCTTTAAAACTGTGTCTAGCAGGATAGACAAACAATAAGTAAATAAATACATTTAAAAAATACAACAACAAATCGTGCTATTACTGCACACAATTACCCATTTTTATGATGGAGTCAAGGGGCATAACCCCGAATATGCACGCAAAACTAAAGTTCCTTCCGTAATCTCTAGTGGAAAGTTTTGGTCGTTCTTTCAATTCTAGACTTTGGTCTTGATTCCAAACTTTTAGTTTTGCGTGAACATTAGTTTTACAGATCTAGTTTTTTTGTAGGTGAATAAAACACCCCTAATTAGTCGCCCCTAATCCCCCTCCTCATCCCCTCACCAAATGGAATCTAGGAACCCACACGGAAAGAAAACAATAAAATAAAAAATCAGTAAAAGACTCACATGCGACAAGACAGTGGGTATTCTAGGCTTGCAAAATCAGTTCACGAGGCAGTTCTACCAAACTAAACTGCGCTATGCTGCATTGAAAATACGCTGAATCGAAGCTGAGAACCTTGCAGTTCTTGAGGCAGTTCTACCAAACTAAACTGCACTTGGCTGAACTGACAATAAGCTGGATCGAAGCTGGATAAATTTGCAGTTCTCGAGGCCTAACTCTTTGCCTTCAGCATCGGTGGACCTTGTAGGAGAGCGTTCACGCATTTCCTTGTTTGTTTACCTGCAAGATTCGTTTCATTGCAGTGCTCAGTGGTGCAATATATTCTTCCTCTTCTTCTTTTGTTTGTTTGAAATAGATTATCTATATCTGCAATGGTGAAACATAATTTCACACAGTATGTCCCTAACTTTTCGAAAACAGTCTTATGACGAATCTTTGGACCCATCAAAGATGTAGAAAAAGGTGAATGAAGAGTGAGAAGCAACAACGAAATTCATAATCTGTTTAAATCACCTTTCATCACTGGCAACATGAGAGCTAATAGACCAAAATGATTGGGGCATACTGAAAAAATGTCAGATAACAGAAGTAAAAATTGTATACACAAGGGAGATGAATCGTCGTAGACCACGAGGCAGACCAAGAAAACGATGATGTCCAGGTAGACCTGCAAACACTTGGTGTCACCAACCGGACAGAAAAGGCCAACCAAGGAGATGAGTGGAGGCGGGTGATATCTGCAGCAAAGAACCTCAAGGGCTCGGAATGCTGAAGAAAAAGAAAAATGTCAGTGTACATTCTTAGTCGGACTGAATTCTTTAATAAGCATCGAACAATGCCAGAGGCGTTACTAGTGTGTGACAGATGGGGCAGATGCCCTAGGGGCCGTTAGAAGGGGGCGCCAATTAAGTATCAACGTCTCATTTCATGGCTCCACAGTGCGTTTCATTTTGTTGAAAAAGGCTTGAATAGCACCAAATTACACAAATATAAACAGTCACCCCTGATCAGTACCGTTTACATTAAAAACAAGAATGCGTTCCGTAGTTAGTTAGTTGGTTAGTAAGCTAGTTAGTTAGTTAGCTAGTTAGTTGGTTAGGTAGCTAGTTTATTAGTTAGTTAGTTAGCTAGTTAGTTAGTTAGCTAGTTAGTTAGTTAGCTAGCTAGTTAGTGAGGTAATTAATTAGTAAGTAAGTAAGTTAGTTAGTTAGTTAGTTAGTTTGCTAATTATTAGTTAGTTAGCTAGCTAGCTAGTTAGTTAGTTTGTTTTAGTTAGCTAGTTGGTTAGTTAGTTAGTTAGGAAGTTATTAGTTAGTTAGTTAGTTAGTTAGTTAGTCAGTTAGTTAGTTATTTAGTTAGTTAATCGGACAGTTTGTCTTTATTACACATCGAACCCTTTCAGTTGCGTAACTTGGGTCTGGTTTTTTTTTTTGGGGGGGGGGGGGGGGGGGGGTTAAAATCGTATACAAAGGAGGAAGAGCAGCACCATCTTTTGCAAATTGGTCAAGGAGTCAACAGTTTGCTT